ACAGCGTTCCGGAGGCCGTCGAGTGTCTGGGGGCCTTTGCCGCTGCAGCACAAACTAGCCATCATTGATTGGTGAGTTGCTGCTGCTGCTGCTGCTGCTGCTACTGCTGCTGCTGCTGCTGCTGCTGCTGGTGCTGCTACTGCTTCGGTGGGTGGTGGTGGTAGTGCTGCTGCTGCTACCGTTGCTGCTACAGCTACCGTTGCTGCTGCTGCTGCTGCTTCTGCTGCTGCTGCTTTGTTTGTTGCTGCTGCTGCTGCTGCTGCTGGCTAGGCGTTTTTCTGCCTTTTCTTGTGCACTGAATCACCTGTATTCTGCTGCTGCTGCTGTTGCTGCTACCGTTGCTGCTGCTGCTGCTGCTGCTGCTGCTGCAGGTTGCTGCAGCTGAAGCTGCCTGTATCTGCTGCTGCTCTTTTGTTTGATTTGGCTTACAACGAGCTGCTGCCTGCTGCAGCAGTTCCTGCTGTTGCTGCTGCAGTGAAGGCAGCAGCAGCAAGCTTCTGCAGCAATACACCTGCTGCTGCTGCTGCTGCTGCTGCTGCTGCTGCTGCTGGTGCTGGAGCTGGAAAGCTGCAGGCTGCTAAGCCTGCAGCAGCAGCAGCAGCTGCTGCTGCAGCAGCAGCAGATGCAGCAACAGGCAGCAGAACGGAGGGCTTGGTCTGGTGGTTTGCTGCTGCAGCAAGGCTGCTGCAGCTGCTGCAGCTCGGCATTCATCCTGCTGCTTCTGTGGATATCTTTCTCACCGTCAGAAACCCTAAACCCTAAACCCCAAACCCTAAACCCTAAACCCTAAACCCTAAGTACCTGATGAAGCTGTTGCTGCAGCATGCTGCTGCTGCTGCTGCTGCTGCTGTTGCTGCTTGTGCTGCTTTCTTGTTGGTGGACGTTGCTGCTCAAGCTCATGGTTTGCTGCTGCTTCTGTTGCTGCTGCTGTTGCTGCTGCTGCTGCTGCTGCTGCTGCTGTTGCTGCTGCTGCTGTTGCTGCAGAGCGTGCCTGTGTCTCCGTTGCTGCCGCATTTGTCGTTTCCTCTGGAGTTTGCTGCTGCTTCCCTTTCTGCTGCTGCTGCTGCTGCTCTGCTGCTCTCGTGCCGTTCGCGGCAGCTGTTCTTGCTGCAGCTACAGCAGCAACTGCAGCAGCAGCAGCAGCAGCAGCGGAGCACAGAACTGCCGCAGACAGCAGCAGCAGCAGCAGCAGCAGCAGCAGCAACAGCAGCAGATCCGTTCCTGTCTTTGCTGCAGCAGCAAACGCCAAACACAGCAGCTGTCTGGGGAGCTATCCGCCGCCACTTCCTTGCGCTTGATAGCAGCAGCAGCAGCAGCAGCAGCAGCAGCAACAGCAGCAGCAGCAGCAGAAGGGCTCACCCATGCTGCTACCTTGCACCTTATGCTGACGAGCAGCAGCTGCTGCTGCTGCTGCAGACGGTAGGCCTGGATGCTGGTTGGGCTGCTGATGCTGGCGTTGCAGCAGCAGCAGCAGCAGCAGCAGCAGATACAGCAGCAGCAGGTGCAGCAGCAACAGATGCTTCCGAAACAGCAGCAGCAGCAGCAGCAACTGCTGCAGAGTCACCAGCAGCAGCAGCAACAGCAACAGCAGCAGCAGCAGCAGCAGCAACAAAACAGCGTGCTGCACCTGCACATGGAGTTGAATTGCTGCAGCTGCTGCAGCAGCTCTCGACCCTGCCTATCCGCTTTGCTGCTGCTCCTGTTGCTGCTGCTGCTGCTCCTGCAGCAGCAGCAGCAGCAGCAGCAGCAGGGCAGATGCCGCTGTCGCTAGAAGGAAGCTTGCTGCTGCTGGAGTGTATATACAGCCGAGCAGCAGAACGAGTTGCTGCTGCTACGCCCACGGAGCTGCTGCAGGCAGCAGCACAAGGAGTTGATCTACACCTGGCGGCGGTGAGTGCTGCTGCTGCTGCTGCTGCTGCTGCTGCTGCTGTTGCTGCTGCTGTTGCTGTTTTTGTGGGTATGTGTTGGTGCTGCTGCGGCTGCTTATCCGTCTGCTGCTGCTGCTATGCACGTTGTCTGTGGTTTGTGGTGAATCTGCTGCTGCTGCTGCTGCTTCTGTTGCTGCGTTGCTGCTGCTGCTGCTGCTGCTGCTGTTGTTGTGTTGCTGCTGCTGTTGCTGCTGTTGTTGTTGCTGCTGCTACTGTTGGTTCGTCAGCTGTGACCGCAGCTGTATGTTGCTTTCGTTGTGTTGCTGCTGCTGCTGCTGCTGCTTCTGCTGCTGCTGCTGCTGCTGCTGCTGTTTATGCAGCTGGTGTCAAGCCTTCCGTCCCCTCTGTCTGCACTCAGCAGCAGCAGCAGCAGCAGCAGCACAGCAGCAGCAGCAGCAGCAGCAGCATTCCCACGTATACCTGTATTTGAGGTGCTGCTGCCGCTGCTGTCTGGATCTATAGCCGAAGCAGGGCAGCAGCAGCAGCAAACGCTGCGAGCTGTGCTGCTGCTGCTTGCTGCAGCACGAGCGCAGATGCTGCACCCTTTTGCTGCTAAGGTATGCCACTGCTGCTGTTGCTGCTGCTGCTGCTGCTGCTGCTGTTGCTGCTGCTGCTGCTGATGGTGCCGTTGTGGTGCTGCGGAAACAGCTGCTGCTGCTGTTGCTGCTGCTGCTGCTGCTGTTGTGGCTTCATCCGCTGCTGCTGCTGTTGTTGCAGTGCTTTGCTGCTTCTGCTGCTATTGTTGCTGCTGCTGCTCCTGCTGCTGCTGCTGCTGTGGCTTCATGGGTTGCTGCTGCTGCTGCTGCTGCTGCTGCGCATCTGCTGCCTCTACAGGTTGCAGCAATGACTGCAGCAGCACCGCCGCTGCATCCAGCAGCAGCAGCAGCAGCAGCAGGCGACCGTACTGCTGCTGCTGCTGCTGCTCTAAGGCACGTATCTTCTCCGTTGTTTGGTGGCGGTGCAGCAGCAGTAGCAGCAGTAGGCCGAGGTGCAGCAGGAGACGCAGCAGCAGCAGCAGAAAGAGCAGCAGCAGAAGCAGCAGAAGCAGCAGCAGGTCAGAAGCTAGCTTCTATATACTTTCGTTTTCGTTCCTCGTTGCTGTTCTTTGCTCGTGTTAATGTTGCTGCTGTTGTGTCTCGCCACTTGCTGCGCTGCTTGGGGGATCAGCAGCAGCAGCTGCAGCAGCAGCTGCAGCAACTGCAGCAGCAGCAGCAGCAGCAGCAGCAGCAGCAGCAACTGCAGCAACTCCAGCAGCAGCAACTCGAACTACAGGCAGAAACCAGACGCTTCCTCTTCCCCTTGCTTCAGCTTATCCGTATGTTGCTGCTGCTGCTGCTGCTGCTGCTGTCGCCGCTGCTGCTGCTGCTGCTGCTGGACAAGGCTGCCGTAGCTGCCGCAGCTGCTTACAGTGATGCTGTTGCTGCTGCTGCTGCTGTTGCTGTTGCTGCTTCTGCTGCTGCTGCTGCTGCATGAATGCTCAACATTACACAGCCTATGGAGATATCTCTTGTGGTATTATATGTGCTGCTGCTGCTGCTGCTGCTGCTGCTGCTGTTGCTGCTGCTGCTGCTGTTGCTGTTGCTGCTGCTGC